TTTTACTGTTTCAGCTGAAGTGCAACAAATTAAACCTTTTAGCTCTTTTAGAAAATTGTGTTCAACTTGGAAGCCAATGCCATGGAAGTCTGGCTCAGCTAAACATTGACTTGCTAATGCTACAGCAAATTATTTGTTTCATAAGGGTATTCATCTTCTTGCACCTTTGAAATAGAAGGCAAATATACAATAGTGTGATATGCAAACTCACATGGTTAGAGAAACATACTCTCACAAACAGATAAACTTGTTTTCCCAAACCTTTGTGGTGTATTCTCCCTCTTTGTATGCATTAAAAGACATCTTGTATTCCATCTTGGCCAAAGCGGGAACCTCGATGAACTTGTGTCCTATGAGGAACACAGTCAGGTCTGGTTTATCAGGTTTAACTACCTCTAGCAGCACAGAGAACCTGAAAACAGAAAAATAGTCAATATATTTGTTAAAACATAAAACTATAAGTCTCATAGGACCGTGATAAATGACCATTTATTATGGCTTCATAAGAGTTGTTAAATTTTTCATCACCAGTTAAATACTAATAAATAAATATTATATTTTGGTATTCATTTCACTCCCAGGTTTTGGATTAGAGTCCCTATCATGCCTTCTTAAATTAACTGAGCTTCACGTACCTGTTGTTGGTCTATCAATCAATGATTTTAATCACAGTCAGACAGGGATTTCAATCACTCCCTGTTTCTGTGTGCATCATTTTACAGATCGTATTATTTTGCTCATTGAATGTATGACATTCACAGTAATAGATCGGGTTCTGTAGTTTGCAGTCTGACTTAAATAAAGTCAGAAGACCAAGCCTGATTTTCCAATTTTTCAATATCTGTGTTCTTTAGCTATGTCTTTAATGGATCTCATTATAGAAAGGAATCAGTCAGGATAAGGTGATGAGTCTGATTTACCAAAATCGTTATTCACACACAAACTAATCTAGATGAGAAAAGTCCCATAGGCCTTTTTTATATGTTAGATGAAATTGGAATTATCATAAATTATATAATTGACTTAGTGTTTTACCTCTGCAGCCTGGTGAGCCAGTTGTTGACTTGGAGAAGAACAGAGCTTTGGGTTTTGGCAGACACCTCCTGTGAGATGATGTCCTCTGCTTTTGGGGCAAACGCACTTCCTTGCAGATTGAACAGAATTCCCCTCCCACCAGGAAAAGAGAAAAAAACTGATCCCTGTGAAAAACACAAGTCTATTTTTTGACATTTTTACCCACTATTTTTAGTCCTAAATACAAAAATGCTTCCATTGAAAGTAATATTTTTCTCTACCAGGTGCTTGTTTCCATCAGTTGTCATGCTCAGTGGTCTGTACGTGACGTCAAATGTCTTGCTTTGGTTGGGTTCAAAGGTCATAAAGTGAGCAGCACTAAATTGCTCACCCTTGATTACAAGTATGACGTTGCAGGACTCACAAGTAGGGTTGGTTACGGACAGGGTCTGAGTTTGAGAGGTGCGCACTCGGCATGTAAAATTTATCACCTGGAGACAGACGTTTTGCAAAATGTATAAAATTAGTCAAACCTGCCAGAATTTCTCTGGCGACCAACAACATGTCCTCTGACGCATGTATTTAAGAGTTCAATAATAAAAGACATCTGCATCTAAGCACAAACAGTAATAATAATGCAATCCCTTCAGCTTTTGTTGGACTTAAAATTATAATTTCTATCAAAGAACATCACGTACATGAGCATGATGCACATTTTCTTTTGTTGTGATGCAGCAAAAACAATCAACATGCTTTTGCAGCCTTTTCAAAGACCTTTTCTCCGTCTACTTTAGATAAATAAATGAATGAATGTGAAAAAACTTCAACACACGCTTTCTGACTTGTTTGATTCCTCGGATGCAGGACTTTAGGGGTACTCAGTTAATTAAATCTAACTGAAAGAAATTGTAGAAATCCTTAAGTCTGTCAGAAGCTCCTGAGTCAACCAAATGAGACAAGTCAATTACATTATATGGAGCTACCGTTTTAACCATTTACACAATGAGGAAAAAGCAACTGACATGGCAGCTTTTAGGAAAAATACTCCAAAAAAAAAATCAGTCTAAATGTAAGTTTGTATCATTTTTTTTACAGCCCAGATCTATCTGCAATATTACATGAAAAATATAATTAAATCTGATAGATTCAACTTTGTTTTTAAGCATTAATAAACAGCATATTTACTTTAAAGTGCTTTACAAGGCAACTAACTCAATATCCTATTTAGAAATGTGACTTCAAATCAGCAATCATGAGGAAAGGGAACCAAAAAACCTCCTTATCCCTTAACTAATAACCAAAGTGTGTATTAACAGTAATTATTTTAAAGACATGAAACATTTATATTTGTATGTAAAGAGAGAGTTCAGTCTAACCTCTTTGCTGATGGAAGGTGGGACGCAGGAACCTGTGACCGTCAATTTAATAAGTGGGGAACCGTCGATGATGCAGGACAGGTTCTCGTATCTGATGTCGTCACTGAGCTTCACAGGGGTAAAGGTCACTTCAAAGGGAAAGTTCTTGCCTGGGCAGATATATCCTTTTACTGGTCTGATCGACAACTCTGCAGGGAAATCTTGGGTTTGCCAATGAAATCTGGAGGTTCAGTGAACCGAAGCAAAACAGGGGGAAGGAAATAAAGCCAACCAAAGTTAGTGTTTGGGGATGTGCTGATTCCATAAAAATACAGTGGGATATGCTGCTATTCAACATTACCTGACAGTAGTGTCACTAGTATTCATCATGACAATCCTCCTATTCGTCAGACAGTTTTGGACCATAGCTCCAAAAGACACTTGGCTGCAGTCTAGATGGACATCTACCCCCTGGTGTTTTTAAATTATAAATTACTACCAAATATTTCTTGAACAGAAACATCGCAATACATAATTCACTAAGGGAATATTCTTGTACACAACGTAGTGATTGTGAGGGCAGATTCCAGCCAACCTTGCAACAGCCCTCGATGGTCAGCAGGTGGTGGAAGAACCCGTTGAACTCGGCCTGCAGCTCGACAGAAAAAGGAGCAATGTGCTGCTGAGGTGAAAACTGAATCTGCAGCTTGCAGGAGCCTCCACAAGATTTCAGCTTCATCTCGCCTAATGGGCTGACAGACAGGTCCTGGTGACAGGAAGGCAACTATGAAGTCTGGCTTCAGTGGACTCGTTTAAAAGTTGATAGCGTTTGCGTTGTGCTTACTTTTAGATCTAGAGAAGGATCTGAGTTCAGTATCAAATTGAAAGAAAGGTCCAGGAGGCTGTCATTGGCTAGGACGACCTGTTTATTCACTTTTTCACCCAATGTTAGACATCCTAGCTTCATTTTCTTTTGTCGGAAATCAAGCACTTCCAGCTGGGACAAAAAAAAGCATATGTTAGGGTCATGAAAATGATTTTGGACAAATAAGAGAGACCACTTTAGAAGATTATTAAAAAGTAAAAAAAAAAAATGAAGAAGGCCCTATGCCTTCCCCTTCACACCACACATCAGTTGATGTTTGATTTAGTAATTGTTTCTGTCAACAGACTTTTGCTCTTTTGGTCTAATTATTTGCAGGTAATACATTACAAGTCATTTCTTGTTGAATAAAATGAAGCACTCACACTATTGTTTCCATGCTTATGTTTGTTTATATCTATGGGCAAATCTCAGTCAATCAAAATATTACAGAGTAATATATTTTAAGCATTTACTCCTGTTAATTTAGCTGATTATGAGTTATAGTAAGGAAAACACATAATTTAGTTTCGAAAAATTGATTAACACAACCAAAAAAACAAAACAAAAAAACAATTTTAAATAATGATATATTCTGTTGTTCTCCACAGTCGTGGGGAAGACTGCAATTCTCAGCAGAGTCACAGACACCTGAGACTAGCATGGTAAGCCATGATAGGTCAGTGCTACAGAAGCCGACTGTTCACAAAGCGCTATAGAAGTGTTGTAAGCAAATACATTGGTGGAAAGCTGAGTGGAAGGAAAAAGTGTGATAGATAAAACATAAAGGTGTACAAACAAAAATGATAACTGCAACCTCAAGAAGATTGTGAAGCAAGGGGGTCCAAGAGACTGGAGGAAGGTGGGGATTTAAACCTAGGTCTATTCTTCAAGATGTATCTAACCCAGATTTATCCAGGCACCAGGCTACAATTGTCACATTGCTTGTGTTAGCTAACACATGAAGCAGAGACAATACTAGAAGGCTCATAATTGGACTAGACCGTTGCTTTTTTCCAGTACTCTTTTTATATGAAGGCAAATTAAGCATTTTATTTACAAAATCAAAGATCTGGAGTTTGGAGGAAAATTGATGAGCTCAGTTCAGAGGTCAACCATGAAATTTTAGACTACGATATTTGATTCTCCAGCAGGGCTTGGCACCTTCCCATAGTGTCTGTAGCACCAATACTATGGTTTAATAACCATAGTATTATTAAGCTTGACTGATCAAAACCCCATATAGAATCTATTAGGGGTGTAACGACACACAAAATTTCACTTTGCCACATTTCTTGGTTTTAAAGTCATGGCTCAATACTTACTAGGTCCTCTTTAAGAAAGAAGAACATCATCTTTGACATATACTACATTAAAAGCAAGCAGCAGTATGCTCAGTGTATGGTGCTTTTTAATTATTTTACTTGAATTTTGTCTTCTGTGTTTTTTACACTACTTTCTCACCTTTAATTCAATGCCTTCTCCTTCTATTGCCACTTGTTTTGTGTCAGAGCTGTCTAGGACAAAAAGGAGCTTTGCCCTATAAAGACAAGTCTTCTGGGGGTAGAAGGTAATTGGTACCGCCATAATACCACCAGGTCTCAAAATATCTGGCTGGAAGTCCACCTTCAAGAATGATGTGTTTTGAAACTGGCACTGGACACTGATGAAAACAAAATCAAAATACAGTATTTGAAATTTTTAAACCCATTCAATTGTGGATTTAAAAAAAAAAAAAAGATAACAGATTTTTTTCCCAGCTCTTTCATTAATTAAATTATTTCCGATACAAATCTAAATTTATAAAGCCATAACTAGCAATAAAACATGGATTGGGGTAGGCTTTCAAAATGAGATCACAGATACTTTACAAAATAAAAGTCACACTCATTATAAAAGTATGTCCCAAATTATTAGGCTTATAGAAACACATTTTGTATTTCTGGTCAATATGCCAATATTCAAGGGCTATAGATTTGGATTGGGCACATACCTGACTTCGTTACTGTCTTTGTTGTGAATGAGAAGAGTGTGGGATGGTGGTACCATACCCGGACAGAACAGGAAACACCTTCCAAAGTTAAACTTTGTGAAGGAGAAATCAAGGCTGCGAGTAATGGCTCTGCCTTTAATGGAAAGAGTATAGGTTGGACCGGGCTTCACCTGGTGGGATGAAAGAAAGAGGGAAAAGATGACAAAAAAAACAGCAATAAAGAAAAATATTAAATATATTTCATTTATTATTTGCTCAGTCAGTTATCACCTGATGTCCAACTGACACAAATTGGCACTGCTTTATTAAACTTAACTTGAATTAATTGTAATTATTTTTCTGAAACTTATTGTGTACTTTTTACTTAAAGAAAACAGATGACGGAGTCATTTTCACATTCCCTAACAAGTTGCAGTGGAAGAAAGTCAGCTCATTCTACAAACTTCTACATAGGACTGAAAAGATGCAGATAATTTAAATAACTTTATCTTACCCTGACAATAAGTTTGACACCGTGGAGGTTGCAGATGCTCTTAGGGGAAAAGACCACTGATACCTTGAGCTCCTTCCCAATCTGGATAACACCATTTAGAGGATTCACCTCTAGTTGCTGAAGTTTCTCTCTGAGACCCGTCAACTCAAAGCTGGCTTCCAGTCTAAGTCTTGAAAGATTGAACACCAGGAAATTGTAGGTAGATAGTTCTGAAATGCCCACCTATAATTCAGGAATATAAAGACGAACATGCTAATTCAAAAGCTCAGATGTTAATGTGTATAATTTGTATCTCAGTCTTTATATTGTTAAGGAGTGGTGACCTTTCCAAAGTTTAGTGTATCTTCCTGGTTAGGGAAGAGCTCTCTGAGATTCCCGTCTGGCTCCTGAATCTGAATTGAAACTGGCATGGAGAAACAATCAGCCTTAACGTTGATTGAAAGTGGTTCTGACTTCCTCTTCACTTTCAAGATCGGTCTGAAGTTTATATATCCCTTTGAGGAAGGTGTGAAGCTCACCAACAGTGGTAACCTACAACCAATAGATTGCAACAAATCAAGGAAACAAATTTCTACAAGAATGGTGCAAATGTGAAAGTAATAGTGGCTGATGTAACCTATTCTTGGGCATCACTATGCCATCCATGGGCTTTAAACTCAGCCTGGCCTGATGATCTTCAGTGACAAGAGACACCGGCAGGACGGAGAAGTGGAAAGGTTCTTCCTCTGCATTCACCAGATCAACTGTCTGCTCCAACATATGGCCTGCCCACACACAAACACACACATGATAGCTTATGCAGTATTTAGAATTAAAGTCTGCCACTATGGGAAAGATAATAACCACACTTTTTTGGCTAAATTTAAAGACTTTTTGTGGACTACAGAAAATTGCAATTGTTTACGCTGAATACATGCTGTAAATGCCACATGTTATGTAGCATACATACACGTCCAAACTAACTCATTTAGGTCAAGGCATTTTGTCATATTTAAACAAAACAGGTATTTTAAATAGTTAAAATATCTGTGACTAAACCTATGTTGTCTACAGATTCAACAGTGACTCTTGTCACATTGAGGTAAGTTAGGAATTTTAACACTGAACCCATGTCCATCCTTCAGTGATAAAACAGCAAAGATGCTGTGTTTTGTTTGTTTGTATACATCTCTTATGCGGCATGCAGGAGCGAAAACATTTTTGTAAATCTCTGCTAACTAAGGGAATACACAAAGAGGTTGACGTTAGCAATGCTACCTCCACTAGCTGTGTCACACATCACAACGATAATCATGCTAACTGTGCCAATTGTGCAAAAACGCTAAATAACTTAAAATGTGGAGTTTAATTAATAACAGTGAAGCCTGTTTAACTTCAGAGTTTTAATGGACAGATCTTTTTCCCACACAGTGTGACACCTAAGCTGGTGCTAGTATAAACAATTGTTATAGAAAATACTCATAGATAATTCACAGAACGTTATATACATAAGAACACATGTATATATTTGGTTTACGTTAATGAATAGACATTTGTCTGTACATACCAACAATCACATCCCCAAAGTCAAGATAAGGTTTGTTGAGATAGATGCATGGTTCTCTAGAAGTTCCCACGCATAAGAAGGGAAAAGACAATGACTTATTCTCAATCAAGAAACTCCACAGTGACTCCACTGTCCCCTGGTGTTCAGCAACATATTCAAAACATATCTGTAGACAAATCAGAGAATGGATAACACTGTGAAGACTTAAGTGAGCTTGAGACGGAAAAGATAGATGGTAAGACTGACGGACACAAAGTTCTTACCTCCACTTTCCTCTTTGGTGGGATGGTCCCAAAAGAATTTAGACAACGAAAAGAACTGGACGCTGTGTCGTCACACCTCCATTTATATGAGTAAGTCATCTTGGTCGGGTTAATCACATTGAATGATCTACAGGGTCAGACAAGAGAACAAGGTCTTAGTTTCTTATATCAATGGTTCTCAAACTGTAGTAAAAGTAGAAATGCTGGGCAAGCTTCAGAGGAACTTGGCAATTCTGCAGAATTATTGACAAACTAATAGGCTAATGAACTTTAATAGTCCAAAGTATTTGTTGAAAGCACATAAAGCGTTGCTATAAACAGAAACTTCCAAGAAGGGAAAGTGCAGCGAAGAACATTTCAAGAACTGCAAGCAAGACTAAAGTGGACACTGAACCAGGAATAAGTGCAAGTGGGTTATTAAACTGCATTTGACAGTCAGAATGTCCATCTGGGAATGACATCACACTCAACTTTAATATGTTTGAACTGTAAAGGGGGACACAATAGTATTCCCCAGTTGATGCAGCTTTGAGGCCAGGCTGTGTTTCCAATAAGTTTCAAATGAATGGCAGCCATTACTGTATGCTGATATTGGAGTTGTTGATTAACCTCCGACTTTTCCATTTGAATTTCTCAGATCTCTCTCTTATTTTTCCCAAATTGGAGGCAGAGAATTAAAATATAGTCAAATGCATGCTTTTTAACCAGACATGCAGTTCCAATAAATTTTTCTACTCTGTTTTTTAGAATAGACATATTCTTTTGTTGCTCTGTTGGAAAAAGTAGGTGTACCAGCAGCAAAAGTGACAGTCAAATGAAAGCATGGCTTTCCACAAAAGGTAAAATATAACAAAACCTAAGAAATACATATCAATGAGGATAATAGCCTCTTGTCATTTAATCTATTACCTTGTTATGGGTGCTGATAAGCCAAGGGACTTGAACTCTAAAACTCGAGTCCTAGGATCCAGAGGCTGGTTGAACTTGGGGCTGCGGCGGCTAATACTGATGTAGTCTGAGTCCTTCAAATCAAAATGTACAACAGGCAACAGGCTTTTACCACACACTGTGATATTAGGAGGTTTGTTGCCGTTCTCCAAGTTTGGAATACTGAAAAAACAGAGATATCCATAATAAATAAAACTTTATATTGTCTGGGCAACTAATATAACTTTACTTTTAGATTAGCCAAACATAAGTATGCTTAAAGATTTTTCCATTGCCAGTTCTAAAAAAAAATAAGAACCATTCTTTTATAAACAAAAGAGCAGTAAATTAGAGTGGTTTTGAGCAGAAGATGTGACTGCGCCTCTAATATGATGACCACTGAAAAATGCACTTGCCTTAAATGCCTTTAATTACCTGCAGAGCAGTCTGCCATGAAACTGCGATACCTCCACAGGTGAAAAGCAAACATTGAAGGTTTGGGTAACACCTGGATCTATACTCCCAATTCTGGGCACCACAGTGAACGGAGGCAAAGCAGGGTTTCCCCTGAGTGGTGTCACTGCACTGCTCCGATCAGTAGAAGGCCTGTCTGAACTGTTGTCAGGATGAGAACTCCAGCTCTCATCCGTCACCAATGACATGCACTCTGATTGACACAGAAACATTTTTAAAGCACTAAATGTAAACCAATACGTCCTGTCCAACTTTAAGTAGTAGGATACTAAACCTAAAATTTGAAACATTTGAGATCAGATTCAAATACTAAATTCATGATAAGAGCTCGTTTTACCTCCTTCTTTAAGGTGTGTAACCTCACTGCAAGAATCCATTTGGACTTGCCAGGAGAAATCCACTTTCACATTGCCCTCATTGACAATCTGTAGTCTTTAAATACAAACATACAACAATCATTTTTAGAAAAAGAAAAAAAAAACATAGCAGTTGCATATCAAGTATTTCATCCACACACACAAAGTACACATCAATAAGTGTATGGACAACCCGGATCTTTAAGCAAGTGTCTGTAAATGAAGTCTATTTAAGGTACTTGACAGATTTAGTGGAATAATATATGAAAAAAGTGACACAACCAAATTATTGAGGAAAGAGCAGATATGGAAAATTATGTGTTGCATATGCACATTTCTAATTGAAAGCACAAATACAGAGCAGAGCAGTGTAAATAAAAGCTTAAAATATTTTTGGTCTCTAACTTTTGAATAAGCATGAGTGTCAAAAATGCATATGCCACACAAATATTCTCAGACATAATGTACTGGCTGACAGTGTTTCAATCAATCAATCAA